CAGACCCAGGACTTGTGGACGAGGAAGCGCCACCCTGTGGTTTCGGTGGACGACGTCTCCCCCTACTGGCCAGAGCTGGCTCTTGCAGCCCGGCTTCCCCAGCCTGGGGCAGGTTGGAAGAAGTGGGAAGGGGACACGGTGGGTGGGGGGCTGCTCCTTCCCTGGGCTCTCGGGGTTCTCATGCACTACCACGTGGTGTTTACTGTAAGCCTATGGGGCGGGCATGAGTGGCTGACCTCTCACTTGTAGATGCTTAGACTTTAAGTGTGGAGGAGGCTGGGTGTCTGCCGCTCCTCACCCCAGCGCCTGGGACTGCCTCTCAATGGCCAAGATCTGCGGTTTCCCCCATCCCTTCTCAGTCCATCTCCTGGCCCCGCTGGACAGGTGCTTAGGTCCAGACACCCCTGTGAGCGACTGCTGGAGGAGGGCTGATGTGGCTTTGCACACTCGAGTGAGCGTGCAGAGGGAAGGAGATGCACACACCCAGAAGATGCAGCCCTCAGGCACGACTGAAGGTCAGTGTGTGGCCGCGAGCCCCGGTCTGTGTGGGGTGTGTGCGTGAGCGCGTGTGCACGGGACTTTGTGAGCCGGCAGACCTGTCGCGCCTGCAAGATCCGACACGCAGACACAGCGACCCCTGCTGGCCACACCGCCCCAACCACCGCACTTGTCAGCCCCAAGCCCCTAGCTGGACACTTGCTCGAGGGCCAGGCGAGGCAACCTGCAGGAAGCTCAGGGCCGGTAGCCCCCTCTGACTGGATGCCTCGCCCACCCCCGCGGGTCTGTCTCCCAAGGGTCCACTGTCCACCCTGCCGTGGTCCCCATTGGGCTGGTGGAAGAGCCCAGCCTCCTGGTCATGGCTGTGTCTGTACCTGAGTCTCCTGAAGACTGAGCGGGGAAGGGCCCCCCTCTCTTCTGCGCCTCACCCGGATAGTGGGGCGGGGGTGCATTGGGATAGGCTGCCTCAAGGTGGCTCCAGGGGACTCAAGCATGAGGGACTCCCTGTGTCCTCCACCCCACCCCCATCTGGCTAGAACCCAGACCCAGGACTTGTGGACGAGGAAGCGCCACCCTGTGGTTTCGGTGGACGACGTCTCCCCCTACTGGCCAGAGCTGGCTCTTGCAGCCCGGCTTCCCCAGCCTGGGGCAGGTTGGAAGAAGTGGGAAGGGGACACGGTGGGTGGGGGGCTGCTCCTTCCCTGGGCTCTCGGGGTTCTCATGCACTACCACGTGGTGTTTACTGTAAGCCTATGGGGCGGGCATGAGTGGCTGACCTCTCACTTGTAGATGCTTAGACTTTAAGTGTGGAGGAGGCTGGGTGTCTGCCGCTCCTCACCCCAGCGCCTGGGACTGCCTCTCAATGGCCAAGATCTGCGGTTTCCCCCATCCCTTCTCAGTCCATCTCCTGGCCCCGCTGGACAGGTGCTTAGGTCCAGACACCCCCAGGAGGGCAGAAGTATGTGGCTGGGGCCCCAGACTAGGCAGGTACGTGTGGGTGTCTATTCACACCACTTTACTGAGCACTCACTCCAAGGCGCCTGACCGTTTGTACAAGCGTTTTACCTCCAGGCATGGTCTCATTCTCATTTTCTCCTCACGACAGCACGTGAGGTCGGGAAAAGCACCCCTGTTTTGCAGAGAAGGTCCTTAAAGCTCAGAGAGCTTATTTTGCCCCAAGTTCCGCGGCCAGATTGGAATTCGGGTAGTTACTGACTCCGGGCTGGGCTCTGTGCGGAGCTGTTCACTGCATGACCTCCGCCTTTTCCTCACAGAAAGCTGACCAGTCCCGGGCATCCCATGCCCTCATCCAGTCCCCACAACTATCTTGTGAGGAAAGTCATATTTTATCCCCATTTTACAGATGAAGAGATGGAGGCTCTGAGAGTTTAAGGAGATTACCCAAGGAGTGTCAGTGACAGTGGGACAACAGCAGGCTAGGGCAGAGCTCAGGCCCAGAGGAGAGGACGGTGGGGACACTGGTGGGCCGAGGCATGAGAGAGAAGCCCTGGAAAAGGGGGCTGGGCCACATGTGGCTTTTGGGGGGATCGGGGAGCTGCTTCCTCTGGGCACAGGCTCCCAGGAGGGCACCTTTTTGAAACATCAAGGTGCAGGGAAAGGAGCCCAGGGCTGTGATGGAACCTGGCTGGTCACCCCCTTGCCATCTCGAGGGGCTGCGGTTGGCTCACTCCTCCTCCACCCTGCCTGTCACACCCTGGCACTCCCCTCAAGTGCCAGCCAAACCCTCCTCAAGTGGCAGGGACTTGACATGGCTGAGGGGGAGGGGTGGAGGGTGACTGCAGTGAGGACCCCTCCTTCCTGGCCTCTAGCTCTATTTTGATATTCGGTCTTCTCTCTCTCGGTCTCTCCCTGCTCTGTTCCCATCTCTCTGATTCTCTGGGCCTCCCATGGCCTCAGCCTCCCTTTCTTCCCACAGAGCACTTGTCCTGGGGTCCCCTGGTACCCCATGGAGATCGTGGTGGAGGATGTGGGATGACAAAGAGGAGAAGCAATGGGCCAGAGTGTCTCAAGGCACTCTGGGGACAGACAGAGGCGGAACGTGAGTATCAGAGATTTATTGGGTAGCCCCCACTCCAAACACCAGCAGCCCCACGCATGCATCCTCACTAGAAATAAATAAGGCAGCATTCAATGAACCAGTCTTTCTTCTTCCTAAGGAGCTCTGGGGAGGGTCTGCCGCTGCCCACCTAGGGGCTGGGATCCCTTCGGCTCTTGAGCAGGGGTGGGGGATGCAGGCTGCAGGCTCACTCTTTTCTAGCTTGGCCCTTGCAGCCTGTGAGCTTGGCACTGTGTTCACAATCTCTGAGGTCTGTCCCAGAGAGACCCATCCCCAGCAGACCCTAGCCCCTGGCCCCTAGGGTCTGGCCCCTACCCCAGGAGTTCCACCATAGGTTCCTTCTCCCCTCTCTAACTGTGTAGCCAGGGGGACCGGCACCTCCTCCTCAGCCAAGAGGACCGGTTGTGCAAAAAGGAAGCTTGTGTTAGGTACTTTTTCTTTTTTCCCCCTTGGCTCAGGGGCTGAGGAGCTGGCCCCTGCCTGACACTGGTCAGCGGGCAGTCAGCTCCATGGTCTTCTTCCGCTCCTCCCGCTGCTCCTCCCAGTCCTCGTCAGGCTCATACGTGCCTTTGATGATGTCCACACGCTCACTCAGGCTCAGGGAGTTGGGGAAGAGCAGGTAGAAGTAGAGGATGGCAGCGAGGACCGCCCCCACGATGGGCCCTACCCAGAAGACCTGGTGGAGACAGGGCAGGAGTCAGGGGGTTGAGCCCCAGACCTCGAAGACCAGATGCCCCCCACCCCACAGAGGACAGACCCATGGACCCTGAGAGGGGACAGACACACAGACTTTCAGACCTTCAGGAAGAAAGACTTCCTCCCACCACGGGGACAGATATACTGACACACCACTCCCAGGGAAAGAGGCATGGACCACAGACACCCAGACCCTCAAAGAAGGCAAACAGATTCCCAGAGGGACAGGCCCCCTCCAACCACACCCGAAAGAGAAACAAATAAACCTTCAGAGGGGACACGTGGGTCCTCAGAGAGAGAGATGAACAGAGCACCTCTCCCCTCCACATAGGGATAGAAACAGACCCTGGAGAGAGTGACCATGAGCTCTCAAAGGAGGGGGCAGACAGACTGTCCACAGGGACAGACCCACAGGAAGACTCTCCCAACCCCCTCAACAGGGACAGATAAATAAAACATCAGAGAGGACCAGCACACAGACACCCAGAGTGACAGACACCAAATCCTCAAGGGAATTGACACAGAGCCCCCCTGCACCTCCAGCCTCTTCCCTAAGGGGACAGATACTTATACTCCCTGTCCCCAGGGGTTCAGGCCATACAAAGCCATCTCTGCCCCTGTGGCTGAATCCCATCCCCTTTCTCTCTCAGCCACCGCTCCCTGGCCCACCCCCAAGCTCTGGGCCCACAGAATCCAGAAGATTCTGTGGTGAGCTCTGAGCTGCCACTGCTGGGTCTCCAGGCCCTCATCTCCAGGGAGCCAGGGGAGGGGACAGACTCACCCAGTGAGCGGGGCTGAACCGATTCATGACCACTGCAGGGCCAAAAGAACGTGCTGGGTTCATGGAGCAGCCAGTGAAGTAGATCTGGATAGAGACAGGGTGGTGGAGAGAAAGGCAACATCCCAGTCCACTCCCACAGAACCTGGACTCTCCCAAGGTTACACTGCAGTCCAGGGGCTCAGCCAGGTCTCAAACTCAGGTCTCCTGATTGCTGGGCTGGCAACCCCTCCCTCCAAGGATCCCAGCTGCCCGGTTAACCATGGACCCTTAACTATGCCCTCTTCTCTTCTCTGCTCTGAGGTTGGGTTTGATTCCTGTCCCATCCCACCTCCTACTTACTCCCATCTTTCCTCAGCCCAGAGGTTCTGGGGGGATCAATTCTGGGGCCCAGTAGGGCCAGAGTCCAGCAGCCCTAAATCCAGGCCTTAAACTCTGCTGGACTCATCAATCTGAAGTGGGCTCCGCTCTGGGGCTCCATTATTTTCCTTGAGTGCCTGCCCCACCCTCACCACAGCCCAGTGTCAGTACTGCTCACCCCGACAAGGTGGCCCAGGGTGACAGACAGGCCAATGGACAGGGCTGGGGAGCCCACAGGGCTGGTGCGACGGGAGTCAGTGGAGGCGAAGATGCAGAGTGCCAGCTGGAAGGTCAGAATCAGCTCCACCACCATGGCCTGGCCCTGCGTTGTGTTGTTGTTGAGCTGCAAGGGGATGGCGGGTTAGGACCCTGGCCACCTTCTGGCAGTATAGCCAGGGGCTCTGGGAGCAGGGCTTTTGGCATTCAGGGACACTTAGAGCAGCTTGACACCTGGAAGCCAAGCCCCGTGGACATCACCCCAGCGAAATCATTTGTTAAAGACACTACATTTCACAGTTTGCACAGGCTTGAAGCTCAGGCCTGTAGCCAAAGGGCAGAGTGTCAGGGGAGCTTTTCCTGGACATGGTCCTATCAATGGCTCTGCCCAACCCCCAGCCCCCATAAGCTGGCATTTACCCTCCATCCTGTGGGCAGCTGCCCAGTTTGCCTGCTTCACACCCCATCCCCGCCTCCTGCCCGTGTCTGGCCCCATGCCAGTGCCAACCTTAAACCCGTCTCTCCAGTGCGGCTGACTCACGGCTTGACAATGGCCGAGCAAATCCTTCTCTGTGTTTGATTAATGAACCCAGTTTGCATGGGGTTGGGGGCTGACTCTGGGGCTGCAGGAGTTGGGAGGGAGGCAGGGATGTGGGGTTGCGGGGAGGAGCACAGGTTGGGGAAAGCGGAAACCAATACTCAACGGAGACTGCTCTGCACTGGCACCACGTTAGGGGGTTCCTATCTATGGTTTCTAAATGTGAGCCCCTTGACACCTGCTGTGGCAGGCACTACCATCCCCATGGAGGGGCTGAGAACAATGAAGCACAGACAGGCCAGGGTCACCCAAAGCCGGGATGACAGCCCGCTTCTCTCTGGTGGTTCTACTCAAACGCTCCCCTGAGGAGATGGGAGAGGTGAGGGGCCCAGGAGGAAGGTGGGGCTCAAAGGTGAGACAGGAGGCGGCAGAAGTTTCTGGCAGGAAAGGAGGGGCAGCAGGCATTGGAGAGAGACCAGGGTGGGCCAGCATGTGGTGAGGGGCAGAGGAGGTGGGCAGGAAGGGGGCGCACATCAGCCTGGAGAGTCGCCTTCCTGGCCTCTGGAGGCTCTTGCCTTCCTGGTGAAGGGTGTGGGCTGGACCACTCTATGACACCCCTTTTTCCAGGTGAGGTAAGAGGCCTGGTCCTGAGCCCACCCCAGGGTCGCGACTCCCACCCCCCCAGGGCACTCACCGCGTTGACGGCCAGATTGCCCCGGGCATTAAGCGGTGCCACACCGTAGAGGATGCCGGCCCCGGCAATGGCGCCCACCAGCTGGGCCGCCACGTAGAAGAAAGCCCGGAGCAGCGAGATCTGGTTGCCCACCAAGAGGGCCAGGGTGATGGCAGGGTTGATGTGGCCGCCGCTCACGGGTCCCAGGGCCTGGGCCAGCGTGCCTATGGCCAGGCCAAAGGCCAGTGCGATCTGCAGGATGGTGGGCAGCGCCGACGGCCACTTGAGGGCCGAGCCCAGGCCGAAGAAGACGAAGATGAGGGTGGCCAAGAACTCGGCGAACACAGCCTTGAGGAAGGCCACGGAGCACACCTCCTTCTTCATGGTGGCCGCGGGGGCCCGGCGGCGGCGGCCGCGGCGGGGGGCGCCCGTTGGGTCGCAGGCGGCTGACGAGGTGGAGGCGGCGGGGACGGGGGCCTGGCTGGGTGGCGCCGCGCTCTGTCCCGCACCCACTGCGAGGCTGGCGGCCTGGCGCGGGCCCTGCTGGGGAAACCCATGTAGGGGGAGGGGGGGCCCGGGCGCGGGGCCGGCGCGGGGGGGGAGGGGGCGGCTCCCACTCTCAGGGGCCAGCGCTGCGCACGGGTTGGGAGGCTCCCGGCCGCCGCGGGCCCGCCGCTCCCCGCCGCCCAGCGCAACCTCGGCGCGACCCCCGCCCCCCGGGCCGGGCAGCCGCCTGCCCGTCCGGGCCACGTGACCCAGGCGGCGGTGTAGACGGGCCCCGCGTCCCGGACCCCGCGCATGATGCGCCCAGGTTGGCTCCCGCGCTCTCCTCGGTGCCGTGCGCCCCGGACTCCCTGGGAGACGGGGCTCGGTCCCGGCGCTTAGCTCCTACCTCAGGGCGTCTAGCTCCGCCGGCCTTTACCGCGCTCCGCGCGCGGGCTTCCCCTTTTCTTCTCTTCGGGCTTTTGGTCCAGCTCCTCCTTTTCCTCCTGCGACCGGAGCATCCTGACCCGCCTCACCCCCGGCTGGGTCGGAGTGATGCTGGTCCCGCAGGTCGGCGCCGCTCACCTCCTCCACTGCCGGCGGCGGGGGCGGGCGGCCGGGCTGGGTCCTGCAGGGCGGTCCGGCCGGCCGTCGTGGGCCGCTCCCGGCCTGGGCCGGGCGAGCTTCTGGGCTTGGAAGGCTGGCGTTTTGGGAAAAGTGGGCACCGTGCCAGCCTGCCCCGATGCTTTGCAATCCTCGACGCCCGGTAGCTGGGCAGTACCTGCACTAGGCAGTGGACCCCTGGAGGCGCCCTCTCCCAGGCCGGGTTCCCCTTGTCGACTTGACGGGAGCGGGGTGTGAGGCGAGGCCTTGAGACTATGGGAGTGGGAGAGCAGGGAGGGTAGAGGCGCACCACTGACCTCCCAAGCGCGGTCTTGGCGTCTCCCCTCTTCCTGCTAGAAGCCCCTCACCCCGGATCTAAGACTCTCCTTCTCTTCCTCCACCTCCCCTCAGTCTCCTTCAAACCCTCACTTGGTCTTGGTCTCTCTCCCCTCGAAATCTGTTTCTGCCAGTCAGTCTTTGCAAAATCCTGTTTCTCTTTTTGTCTCTGTCTTTAGTCTCTGTCCCTCTACCTCTGCCAGCCTCTTCCTCTCGGTTTCTCTCGGTAGGTCTCTTTCTCATTTCAGTCTCTCTGTTTTCCACCTCTCCCTCTCTCTGTCTCTCTCACACCTTCTCATTTTCTGTTTTTCCTTCCTGCCTTTTGCTGTCTTAGTGTCTCTGTCTCTTTCTCTCTATTCATTTATCTCATCCTGCAGTTTCTGTCTCCTGGCTATTTTCACCTTTCCTCTGCCTCTTAGTTTCTGTGCCTTTTTTTGTTTCTGTCTGTTTCTACCTCATTTTCCATGTCTCTGTCTTACATGTGGTCTTTTTCAGTTTCCCCAAAGTCAAGTTTTTCTACCCCTGGTCTGGGTGACACTTTCTTCCAGTTCCCATCTCCCTTCCCTCTGAGCTTATAGCCCCTCTGTGACCTGCTACCTCCTTCCATACCACCCCCTCCCTCTTCCCACCCACTCCAGGTCGGGCATGTGGGAATGAGGCTGGAGGGCTCTCCAGGGCTTAGAGGAGGGGGAAGACCCCTAGGATCCCGGGAGAGGAGCTGCATTAAAGACCTCCATCCCCATGTGTGTTAGAGAAGCCCTTAGCACAGTGCTTGGCACAGAATAAGGCTTAGTAAAGTCTCCTTACATTGTGACTGTTAATTTTAAAAGCCCCTTGAGGGTTTAGTGTGGTGCTAAGCTTGGGGGAAGAGTCCAGTGGGAGGGTACAGAGGGAGTAGAGAACAGGTGCCTCCCCTGTCAGTCAGGCAGGGCTGAGGGGAGGAGCCTGCAGGAATGCTAAGGACTTGGAAGAGTGGGCTCTGGGCTCCGTGGCAGCTAAGATGCCAAAGAAAACAAGGGCCAAAGAAACCCCGCTATTGTTCCTGCCCAGTTCTGGCATTTCCTGCTGGAGCAGCTCCTCCCCCAGAGGTCCGTTTGTCCTTTCTTCCATGAGTCCCAGCGCTCTGTCCCCAGCCAATCATGCCAGTTGTATGCAGGATTTTCTTCTGGGTCTGGGGGTTGGGCTGGACAATGACCCTGATGACCCCAGAGATCATTGGGGGCCAAGCTCCTTCGCTGCTGAACTTGCCTCCAGTTTGCACCCTTCCACTTGCTTTCTCATCATCCCTCAAGTGCTCACAAGTGCTCACAAGAGGCTAGGTTACCAGGGGAAGCTCCAACCTGAAGATTTGAGCTAATGAGGGACTGTAAAGGCCAAGACCTTGTTCTTGCCATTTTAGAGATTCAGAATATGATCTACAAAGTTAGAGATTATAATTGGCCTCCACTGTGTGATTTCATTCCAAGCTACCCACGAAGAAACCCAGACTCAGAGGTCACTTGCCTAGGGTCACACAGTGACCTGAGATAGGAACTACAGGTCACCACGCAGACTTGGTCACCAGAAGTGGGCCTGGTGAGGCCAAAGAAGGAGACTTCATCTGTCAAGGTTACTCACATTGGGCAGCTGATTCTGTTTCCCAGGCCTGCATCTGAGGCCCCTCCATCTCTCTAACCACTAGAGTCCCTCTGTCCCCAAGTCATCACAATAAACTCCTATTATGGCTTAGAATTATCTTTCCTCAAGCACTCAGGCCCTGCCCTGCCACCTCCAGAGGAATGCCCGGGACCTTTCTTAGTTGAGAGATGGGTCTCCCCATTGGTGGCAGGGGGAATTTGAATGTCTCAGGGAGAGCCCTTCCCCTCCTCTCCTGATATGGGGACCTCTGAGTTCCCTGGGAGAACTTGAGGGCTGGGGTAGAAATGGTAGGGAGTTCTGCCTGTCTTCTGGTACCTTGGACTGTATTTGTATTGACCACTGCCACGTTGTGGAAGAACACTACTTATTGGCAAATGAGCATTTATTGAGTGCTTATTATATGCAGAGCAGTTGAAGGAAGGTAGATAGGAGAATGCCATCTAAGAACTGAAAGCAGCCCTGTCCCCAAAGGGCTTACAGTCTAGCTAGGAGGCATCGTATATATACAACATCACAGCTTAAAGATACAAAACAACATTGAAGCACCATTTGCAGGTGCAATGTCATTTGGCACAAAGTGGGAGTATGGGACAGCTCACAACCTTCTCTGTGCCCAGTTTGGGGACCTGGAGGTCTGTCCACCTGTCTCCACGCTGCCCTGCCTGTATGGTTTGGTGTGAGTGATCTCTGTTCTCTGACTAACCAGGTGCTCTTCAAGGGCAGAAACCAGCCCCACGTTCTTTGTCCTGTCTACCTTGCTGCCCTCGCCAAGGTTCTCTGTCCACTGCAAGACAGTGGGTTGGGCTGGAAAGGTCCAGCCATGTGTTCTGGCTTCTGCAAGGGCCTCCCAGGAGGAGCCTAGGATTTGCCTCAGTGGAAAAATCATGGGATTTTGCATAAAAAGCTCTGAGTTCAAGTCTTGGCTCCACTATACACTACCTGTGAGACTTTAGACCAGTCTCTTAGCCTTGGTTTCTGAACCTGTAAAATGGGAAGAACAATATTTGCTCTACCTTTGTCACAGGGTTGGGAGATAATCACAGGGGACGATAAGGGGAAGCTTTGGAAATAGCAAAACCCTTTATGGCTGGGGGCCTTTGTCCTTCCCTAACCTATCAGAAGTTTGAGGAAGATTAGATGAACCCTTGCATGCAAGGCACCCAGCACAGCAGCTGGTACACAAGAGATGCCAGGAACTGCCAATTTCCCTTCACTCCTGGAGTTCCATCACTTGGAATCCTTTTTTGACCTCTGACCCCAATGGGCAATAGAAGCTGGAAGTGGTAGGGATTTCATGTTTAGTTTTGGGGGAGATGCAATCCAAGAAGTGAAACAGACATAGAGATAAATTCTTGGCTTCTTCTAGAGGAGTTTGTTGGGGTAGGTGGGGTGGGGACGAGGTGCCTGAGACATATCCATGATGGGCTCATAGCTCACTGCCTTGCTGCCTTTGAACCTCTAGAGCAAGGACACTCAGGTGCCAGGAGGACAGCTGTGGAGGTCACTTTGGTTTCTGACTCCCCTACTCTTCTGGTAGTGAGGCCAAGTGGCTGTCACTAGCTATTGGGGGTTTGGGAGAGTCCTCTCCATAGCACCTATGGCCTGGGGCAGCCTTTTTTGGACCTCAAAGAGAGCTTTGGTCAAGGAAGACAGTAAAGAGCATAGATCAGAGGGGACACAATTGCAGAGATGTTCCTTATACACTGTCTTTCTTGGATGGAAGCAGAAGGGAGAAAGAGGCTAGAGACTCAGTGCCTGGTGCACAGTGGGTGCTTGGTGCAGTGTGAGCTAGATATAGACAGAAGTCTTGAAGGCATGGAGGCCACAGAGAGCATGAGGGTGGGGGGTTCAAGGTATGACCCACATATTACTTATACAACAGGCTGGAGAGGGAAGGAGAGAATGGATGGGGCTGGGTGGTGGGAGGAAGGAGGTGGGAGAAAAGATAGGGCACACATGCAGGGTAAGGAGAGGTTAAGAGGCTGGACCAGGATGGGGCCAGCCCCAAACCCATCTCCTTCTGCCTGGATCTTGCAGGCTCCCAGGACTCTCCTTTGCTTTGGCCATCAGTGAAAGGAGGTAAGGGATGTTGAGCATCAAACTCCTTCTGCATCCTTCCCCCAGGAAGCAGAAATAATGAAAATGATTCTAGTAATGCGTGTTAATGGTATTAAGAATTACAGTTTACACAGCATCTTTACATGCGTCATCTCACTTAATCCCGGTTAATCTCATTTGAGAACAGTCATACTGGCCTAGAAATTTAGAAGCCTGGGTTCTAGACTCCGATCTGCCTCTGCCTGGAGAAGTCATTTCCCTTCCCTGGTCCTGAGCGCAACAGGCTGCTCTATCCACAATGACTGTTCAGTGGTAGGAGCCAGAAGCAGGGAATCACAGGCTGTGGAGAGGCAGAGAGAGAAGGAACAGAGGTTCCTGGGGCGGAGGAGCTGCTGCCCGAGGACTGGGGAGAATGAGATGGGTGATGAAGGGGTGTTGCCTGGTACCCATGGTTGCATGCCTGAGTGCCTTGCCCAGCCAGCCATAGGTGTGTGCTGGGCAAGAGGGCTGACTTGGGAAACTGAGTGTCTCCTTTCAAGAAGTGTCTAGTTGCAAATCTCCCCCTTTCCCAAGACAAAGGCCCGGGTCCCACAAAGGGCTTTTGTTTTCTCTGCCCAAGTGGGAGGCTAATCTCTGGATCTGGGGCAACCCTGGAGACGGGGGTCCTGGGCACACACAGCATACACACACGTGAAGGTGTGCACACTCATATGCCTGCTTCCTCTTTGGAGAGGTTCTCCCTCACCACAGAAAGGAAATCTTTGGTCACCAAAGCGCTGGGGCCCAGCGCTGCAGGTAGGGGACATTTTCCAGGAGAAGCCAGATTGCAGCTGGAAATCAAGGCCCTCCCTTCAGCCCTCTCAAAGTGGCCTCCTTCCCTTCCCCTGAGGATGACTGGCACCCACACTTATCCACTGCAGAAGTGGATTTATTGCAGGTTGGGGAGGAAGGGGTGCAAGGGGAAGTGAGAATTCCCCAGCCGTGCACACTTGCACCAACGTAGGCAAACCTGTTCACACTCAGGGGCATGCACAACCCTACATGTAAGGACAAAGGAGAACTCGGGGATGAACACACTTGCACACTAATAAAACCGTTGCACTCTTTCCAGAACCCCCAAGGCAGGGGTCTGTACACTCCCCACCCGGTACCTGGGTGCAGGCTCTCAAGAGGTTCGCTCTTACCACCCACCTGCCTCCCTCCGCAGCTCAGTCCCCCAAGTTCCCAGTTCCCTGCAAAAGGCTGGAGGATCCACTACTGGCTGCTCACAGCCTCGGGGCAGGGGGCCTGCCAGGCTCAGGGCTCCCTCCGGCAGCCTCCTCTACGCTTGCTCACAGCACTGGCCTCGGCGCGCACGTACAGGAAGCAGCTACTCTGCGCTGGGGGGCCAACTTCAGACCTGGGGGAGAGGAGGGACGGGGTGGGCCCTTCTGCTTCGGGCCTCACACGCGTCCATCGGGGCCGTAGAGGCCGCTGACGGCCCTCAGGCCTTGGTGCCCCGTGGGAGGCTCTGCGGCGAGTGCAGCTCCACCGACTGCCGCCGCCGCACCTCGCGCTCCTCCCAGTCGGTGTCCGGCTCCAGGCCCTTCAGCACTGCCAGGCGCTCCGACAGGCTCTTGGCTGGCGGGAACAGCACGTAGTTGTAGAGGAGGGAGCCCAGGATGGCGCCCACCAGGGGTCCGATCCAGAAGACCTGGGGGCGAGCGGAGAGAGTGGCTCGGCACCCGAGCCTACACCGGCACGCGGAGCCCGCAGGCCCCGGTGGCACACTCTGCGGCCGCACCCCTCCTCCCCGCCATTAATCTAGTGAAATGCTTATTTATGTAATTAGCAACGACAACGCCAGCTGCTGGGGAAGCCTTATCAGTGCCACTGCCTGTGTGTGAATCCTGATTCCACCACTTAGATGCTGTGTGCACTTCAACAAGTTACTTACCATCTCTGTGCCTTTCACTATAAGAATGCCTATCTCCTAGGGTGGTTGTGAAAATTGAATGAGTTAATGTTTGCAAGGCACTCAGAACAAGGCTCACCACATTCTAAGCACTAGATAAGTGCTAAATACTACCACTTGTAGAGTTCTAAGTGCCAGACACTGCATTATCTGGGTTACACCGGTAGCCTCACTTACTGTTCCCAAGAAGCCAGTGAGGTAAGCTGTTGTCATCCTCATTCACAGTTGTGGAAACTGAGTCTTTGGCATCGGATCTGAGGGGTGGAACCCAAGGCTCCCCAGGACCAGGAGGAGTGTGGAGGGTTTGAGGTACCGCTGCTGAGCCCCAATCCCATGCTATTCCAGCTCTTGTTCTCCCTCTAAAATGGGTTTTTAGGGAAGGGGAGGGCAGTGGGTTTCAGCCATTACCCAGTGGTCATCAAATTTGCCAGTGACGACAGCTGGAGCCAGGGAGCGGGCGGGATTCATAGAGCAGCCGGTGTAGTGGATCTGCAGTGGGAGGAGGGTATCACAGAGAGAAGGCAGGTGAGGACAGGGCAGAAAGTCCTTGTCCCGCACTGCAGTGCTTGACCTCAGCCTAAAGGGAACCCACGTGATGGACAATTAACTTCACGTTTTATTTAAAGAGCTCTGTATTCTTTGGGGGCTGGAGTGATATCTGTCCCTCTGGGGTATCTGGGAGTCAAACCTCTGGGGTGTCTGTTCCTCTTGAGAGTTCTGTGTATGTGTCCCTCTTGGGGTCTCTGTGTCTGTCTCTGGAGTGGTCTGTGTGTCTGTTCCTCCAGGGAGGCTGGAACCTATGGCCATGACCTACCCCCAGGAGGTGGCCCAGGGCCACGGAGAAGCCTATGGAGAGAGCAGGAGTGCCCGGGTTCTCTCCACGGCGCTCATCGGTGGAGGCAAAGATGCAGAGCACCAGCTGCAGCGTCAGGAAGAGCTCCACGGTCACCGCCTGGCCAGCTGTCGTGCTGTTGCTGAGCTGGGGACAAAGAGGCAGGTAGGGGAACACTGAGCACACTCTCCTCTCTGGCTCCATCTTCCTGTCCACCTGCAGTCAAGGCACCAGGGGGGCCTCTGGGCTGGGAACCAGAACACCTGGGCTTGCCAGACACCTTAGCTGGAACAACTGATCCCTTCTTCTTGGGCCCTGGCCCAAAGGCAGCCCATGATCCCCCAGGATGCCCGTGGTTTCCCTGCCAGAGGTAGGAAAACTGACTCTGTAGCCCATTAGATTGGGGGTGAGGTTGGGATCCTTCAGTGTGAGAGAAAAAGGATGCTGAGATCCAGAATTTCTGTTTCCTGAAGAACAAGAACGGAAGAGGTTTCAACGGCCTCAGGAAGCTTTGGACTGGTTAGCAGGAAGACCTTCCCCTCTCTCTAGACCATCAGACCCTGGTGCAGTGAGAGGCCCGTGGTCTGTCTTCCTGAGGTCAAATGGCTCCCAGGGACAGGACTTGGGTCTAGGGGATGGTCCTAGTGTGCCCCTTTCTGCTATGAGTCCACTATACACCTTTTTCCCTAACCCTTGTCTATTCTCCACTGCCTTTCAGGCCTCAGCTTTGCCCTGTTGGTTTGCTCCCTGCACATCCTATGGAGGTTGGGGTGAGGGCCCCGGAGCTGTGTCGGACAATGCCTCCACACCCATGTAGGTTGCCCATGGTCTCAGCAGACCCTGCCTTGGGTAAGGAGAGAACTCGGGGCTGAGTAAAGAGGTGATTTCATAACTGGGCCACACCCAGCACTGGATTTCTCCTTGGGTTTTGTCACCCTGTGCCCTACGCCCTGCCTTCTGGGACTGGGCACCGTGCTGGGTGGAACAGTGACAGCTCTCAGCTCCCACGCTCTTTCTCCAGGCCCTGAACCCCCACCCCTGGGTCCGAGACATCAGGTCAGAACCCTTGGGTCTCTCTAGGGTCTAACCTCAATCCCTCCTGTTGTTGTCCAATGCAGAGTCTCTAGAGGACGGTGAAAAGAGCTTTGGAAGCAGACACTTTAGAGGCCTCTGACTTGCCATGAGACTATTTAATTTGGCCTCAGTTTCTCCTTCTGCGAAATGGGATAACAAAATGGATTCTGGAGGATGGTGGGAGGACTGGAAATGACTTATTGGTTCTGTGACTTGGATCAATTCACTATTGAGCCTCAATTTGCCACTCACAATAGGGGGGAACCACAGAATTTCCCTTATAGCATTGTACCAATGATGAGATGATAGCTGGCCTGGCACAGGGCAGATGCATGTCAATGATTAACTTCCTGGTGGCCAGGCTGGCTCTTAGTGTCCTCAAAGGACACATGGGATGGTCTTGAGGATCATCTGGCTCTCTTTAGCCTCAGGGCAAGTTGGTCCCACCACTGCCCCATTACATCCAGGCAGGGTTCTCCCCAGGTCCTCAAGGTGGTAAATGCTGAGAAGTGGCATGGAGGAGTCCTCCCAGACCTTTCTCTTCTGAGGGCCCCAGTCAGTTGTGAAATGATGGAGGAGGAGGACTGCATGTTTCCCATGGCCTCTCACTCCCAGTGCCCTGCTATTACAGAAGAACTTCCTGGTCATGCTCTCAGGAAATTCCTTTTTCAGTCTAACTGGACCTCTTCTTGCTGTAAACTGAACTAATTTTGTTCTCAGAGGAAAAGAGCCCGCTCCTCTGCTTGCCCACCTAGCCTGTCCTTGGCCCCTGGCCCCCAACCTTGTCACAATTTCATCTTTAAAGAACAGAGCCTTGGTGTGGTGGCTCATACCTGTAATCCTAGCACTTTGGGAGGTGGAGACGGGTGGATCACTTGAGGTTAGGAGTTCAAAACCAGTCTTACCAACATGGTGAACCCTGTCTCTACTAAAAATACAAAAATTAGCTGGGTATGGTGGCACATGCCTGTAATCCCAGCTACTCGGGAGGCTGAGGCAAGCGAATGACTTGAGGTGGAGGTTGCAGTGAGCTGAGATTGTACCATTGTACTCCAGCCTAGGCAACAGAATGAGACTCCATCTCAAAAACAAAACAAAACAGAGAAGTTCCCTAACTGGGATACCCCTGTCCCACAAATGAGGAAGGGCTACCTGTGCAGAGACGCGGGTGGCCACAGAGATTGTGCAGGACTTGTCAGAGACATCAGGACTCTTGTCCAGTGGCCCAGGGATGGAACAGGCCAGGAAATACTGGAGACTGAGGCACAAAAGAGGCACTTGCTGTCCTGGCTTAGGATGGGGGTACAGAGTGAGAGTTGGTCTGTTGGGAGCACAGGTCGTTCCTCCACACTCATGTCTCTTGGATTCACAGGGCCCACACAGACCTGAGAGGGGAAGGGGGTGGGACATGGGGGAAGGGACTGTGGCACCACCCTCAGCTCCCAAAGGGCCCACAGGGCCCAGTTAGCACCTGTATCATGTAATCAGCAGCCAGCTTATGGGCTCCGGGGACCTCGTCAGGGTTTGGAGAAGGAAGTATGCCCACTGCTGCTTGTAGGGCTATGGTGTGTCTGAGCCTGACCTGTAAGGAGCACCTGCCATAGGGCCTGCAAACCCTCAAAGCAGAAGAAAGGCTGGGCCCCTCTTCTCTCTTGAGGACCCTGTCATGAGCACTCCAAGGCTCCCCGCAGCTTGGAAAGCATGTCTGCCTGGGACACTAACCCCTGCTGAGTTACAACCTGGTCCTCACTATAACGGAGGCGTTGAGTCCTACAGAAACCCAGATGAGGCTTTTCCTGCACGACGGTCAGGGTGGAAGAAGCCTGCAGTCTGTCTGCATCCTGCCTTTGCTCTGGTACCATTGCTCCTTTCATCCTGACCCTCCTATGGTGGCTATGTTCCTGACTCCAGGCTCTGTCTCTCTCTGTCTCTCTGCCTCTGTCTCCATCTCTCTCCCCACCTCACCCAGAGCCCATCCCTCCCATCTCATCCCTTACAAGGGATTCCCCAGGATCTGCCCCTTGTGGATGGCAAAGTTGTGGCTACTCACAGCATTGACAGCCAGGTCCCCGCGGATGTCTGCTGGCGTGATCTCATGGAGCAGAGCGGCTCCGGCCACAGCCCCCAGCAGCTGGGCAGCCACGTAGAAGGTGGCTCGGAGAAAGGAGACATGGCAGCCCACCAGGCAGGCCACAGTCACGGCTGGGTTGATGTGGGCCCCGCTTATGTGGCCCAGAGCCTGTACCAGGGTGCCAATACCCAAGCCAAATGCCATGGCGATCTGTAGCACAGAGGGCAGGGCCTGTGGCCAGTTGAGGGCCGAGCCGAGGCCAAAGAAGACGAAGAGGAGTGTGGCCAGGAACTCTGCGAACACGGCCCTGGAGAAGGCTATGGAGCGGAGCTCCCACATGCTGCGGGGTCCTGCGTGGCTGGCCGGGCCGTCTCAGGGCCAGGAGGCTCTGGGCACTCTCTTTCGCTCTCTACCGCTCTCTTTCTCAAGGCCTCTGGGGAGGCTGGGTTGTGGGCATTTATAGGGTACTTCCGTCCCGGATCTGGGCACGTGGTGGGGAGGTGGAGTCGTTGAGGCCAATACCTCTTCTCCATGGCAGCCTCTGCCCCCATGCCCCATCCCAACCCACCCACGTGCCTATCACCCTATCTTAGCCTTCACAGCTGACTGATGTTCCCCATTTAATGAGCTCCAGATAAGGACTGACGTCCCTGGTTTTCCGTGTTTGTTCCCTTGGTTACCCCAGGGCTGCTGCCCCAGGGCCTCTCCCAGCCCCCACGGGGTCTTGTGAATGGGAACCTCTGGTGGGGATTGTGCCCAGTGCCCCTCTCTCTGACTCGAACTGTTGACCAAGGCAGGGGCAATACCTCACACAAAACTAAGAGTGCGTGAGTGCTGCTCCTTCTGGTAACTGGGAAGTTCTTCTGTCAGACCTCCAATTACTCCTGCTTCACAGGGATGGAAAACAACTGGTTGGCTTGTGACAGATTTCCAGGGCATAAAGGTTTGTGTCTTCTGCGTTTGCATTCTTGCAGCTAATCACCCATAAATCATTAAGCTTCACCTTCTCCTGGGAGCCCCAGCCAAATAGCAGTTCCTAGAGCCTGGGGGCACTGGGACCCTGGCCCTCGGTGATGGAGTCAACCTGGGGGCGGCTGAGGAAGCTGAGGGTGTCCATTCTGGCATCAGCCTGTTCCATCTATGTGACTTAACCTTTCTTGTCTTTCTCTGTAAAATGGGAAGAATAAAACTGACCTAGTGGATTGGGGTTTGGATTGAATGAAACAATGTATGTCAAGTGCTCAGAGCAGCGCCTGGTCCACAGTAGGTGGTCAATGAATATCAGCCCTTCCTTACAGTATTATTTACACTTTGAGGAGAACAGGTCTTTGCACACTCACGTGTTGGGGTCCCAGAAGCTGTGACAGGTCCTAGGAACCCCGAGGAGCTTAGGGCCACTCTGGCCACAGGAGAAAGACATTTCTGTGGGGCAGTGAGCTGTGCAGGCTTGGGGCGGCTATGATGGCTGATAAGCAGCTCTCTGGCCTTGGTGCCCACTCAGCCCAGCATCTGGGCAGTGCTGCCTCCTGCTATCAATGCCGCTGTGGCTACTGGGGTCCTGGAGGTGTTCAACTCTAGAAGTTTCCCCAGCCCCGCTCACTGGCCCTTCCCTAATCCCTCCAGCCTTGCTCCCCATCCTGGGGATTCACAGCAGGGTTGGGCTCAGAGTGGGGGCAGAAGGATGGGCTTCTGCACCCTGCCCTAGCTCCTGTCCAGCAGGTCCCCGGGCAAGTCACAGTCCCAGCAACAGAAATCTGGGAGAGATTGGAGACTGGAGTGGACCGCTTTATGTTGTATCATGGGGATGTGGGGTGAGTGTAGGCCCAGGGAGGGGAGTGACTCATCTAGGGTGCTCCAGCAGGTTAGTGGCTGAGCTGGGACTGAGCCTGGTCTGGAGCTTTCTGCCACACCCCACACTACCGAGCCACACTCTGTGCCTCAGTTTCCTTGTCTGGACAATGGGAGTGTAGATGCCTACCCCATAAAGTTGTTTTGAGAATGCAGTAAGATAATGAACGGGAAAGTATTTTGCAACTGAGAATGTATCATACACATATATATGGGGACTCATGACTCCTGCTCTTGTGAAGGAGGAGGAGGAGAAAGGCGAAGAGGAAGGGGAGGAAGAAAGAATAAAAATTACCCATACAGAAGGGATGCTCCAAAAGAGCAGGGATTCCTGTGGGGTTTGTTCTCCAGTGTATTTCCAGTGCCTAGCGCCTGGCCTGACACATAGACACCTGGCACCCTAGCACTCTTCCCTCAGCCATCCCTCCCAACTTCAGGCATTCTGGGTCCTCTGGGAGAAGATCGAGGGAGAGGGAGACCCCATCCCTGTCATATAAAGGGCATCTGGGACCCACCTCCAGACTCTGCACATGGGAAGAGACAAGGACTCAGAGGGGTCTGGCTTGGGTGTGCCTCTGCCCCCACCCAGGGAATATTCCTTCCCCACTGCTGCTACAATCTCCACCTCCCAGTTTCAAGCAATTCTCTTGCCTCAGCCTCCTGAGTAGCTGGGATTACAGGCACACGCCACCATGCCCGGCTAATTTTTATATTTCTTTTGGTAGAGATGGGGTTTCACCATATCGGCCAGGCTGGTCTCCAACTCCTGACCTTGGGATCCACCCGCCTCGACCTCCCAAAGTGCTGGGATTACAGGCATGAGCCACCGCGCCTGGCCTACTCCTTTCTTTTGTGGCTTCATGTATCACTTCTCCTGACCTTCGGACATACTGTCCACCCCAACTGGCCAAGTTCAGGACTGAGTCTCAGGGTCCCTGGAAAACCTTCTCTTTGGGCCTCATGTGAACTGAAGCTGTGACAGTGGCTTCTAAATCCACACCCAACCATTTAGTTGCTGTGTTCTCTGGGATGGGCCGCACACCCTTTCTGGTCTCTCCTTCTTTTGTCAAGGTATTCACGATCTTGAGGAGTGGCCCACTGACCCTTGATTCTGGGAAGAACCGCCGCTAACCCAGTCAGGTGAAAATCTCTTGCTTCCCAATACACCAGGATAGGTATGACAGCTTCTCCTTGGAGCCCACAAAGCCCCAACCCGAATTTGCATATGTTTGTGGTGTGTGTGTTGTGTGGTTGTTCAGCCACACAATCATACGTTTAGAACCTGTTGGGATCTTGGAGATCATCTTGCCCATGGATTTTAGTTGCCGTGATAAGAACATGAATTCCAGAGAGAGTGTGACCTGCCGCACAGCTTATGATAGTAGTCAGGACTCACATTCTGATCTGGCCCCTAGTCTGGGAGGACAGGAAGGGGCCAACAGTGACCCAGCTCGTGCCTGTGTTTGCATTTGCCCTTCATGCCAGGGAGGAAGAAGGTGTTCCCATCAAAGCTGGTGGGGCTTGGCTGTGCTTCTGGCTGGCAGCTCTGCTCCCCTGAAGGGATGGCTGCATTTTTTCTAAAATGGCCACTATGCTGTGTCTTAGGAAATCTATTCATCTATCATGCACTATTAATTAGAACATGACAAAAATTGCTGATGAATTCACAGCAATGTGAATGTGCTTAATGCCACTGAACTGTGCACTTAAAAATGGTTAAGATGAGGGCCAGGCGCAGTGGCTCATGCCTATAATCCCAGCACTTTGGGAGGCTGAGGTGGGCAGATCACCTGAGGTCGGAAGTTTGAGACCAGCCTGACTAACATGGAGAAATCCCATCTCTACTAAAAATACAAAATTAGCCGGGTGTGGTGGCACATGCCTGTAATCCCAGCTACTCAGGAGGCTGAGGCAGGAGAATCACTTGAACCCAGGAGGCAGGAGTTGCAGTGATCAGAGGTCGTGCCATTGCACTCCAGCCTGGGCAACAAGAGTGAAAATTAGTGTCAAAAAAAAAGGTTAAGATGGTAAATTTTATGTTATGCGTATTTTATAGGCTGGGCTTGGTGGCTCATGCCTGTAATCCCAGCACTTTGGAAGGCCAAGGTGGGCAGATCACTTGAGCCCAGGAGTTTGAGACCAGCCTGGCAACGTGGTGAAACCCTGTCTTTACAAAAAAATACTCACAAAAAGTTAGCTAGACATGGTGGTGTGCACCTGTAGTCCCAGCTGAGGTGGGAAGATTGCTTGAGCCTGGGAGGCAGAAATTGCAGTGAGCTGAGATTGCGCCACTGCACTTCAGCCTGGGCGGAAGGGTGAGACACTGTATCACAAAAAAAAAAAAAAAAAGATATTTTAGATTTATTTAGATATCAGTCTTTAAAGTCAAAATTGCTCTTTTGCATGCATAAAAGGAAATTATAGGTAAAACAAATTGGGCTAAAATAGTCTCCAAATTTCTTCACATTCAGAGTCCAATTTTCCTGAAACCCTCTTTGACTCAGAGTCCTTGATTTTCTGCATGGTATCACCTTCTGTGCCATCAGGAGCATTGGCAATGTGCCATTCTTTAAAAGATTGTCCACTATTGTTTCCAGCATTTATTTTCAAGCCTCAGCTACTCATTCTGCAAGCTTTATTGCCGGTATTTTCTTGCTTCATGTGTGACTAGCAATCATTTTGCCCTTTTCTCAGTAATAAAACAACACAACAGTTCCATTTATTTACGGGGCTCTTCCTTTCTTAGGTCTCATAAAACACTTGGCTGCTGTTTTGCAAGAAAATATGAAATTGTGGTCATTCTTCAATGATAACTGCTTCACTAATATCAAATTCTTGCTACACTCTTCTGTTTGCCCGCCTTTCTGCATACACAATAACTGTGTTTAAATGCTAAACCACAGTGTAACCTTTTTGAAGACATTTTAAACAGCAATTAAGCTGAAGGCCCGGAACTCACCTGACCAAGTTTAGGTATGCACAAGCAATGACGGCCACTCCCAGCTGCCACACGAGCAGAAGAGCTCTTTTGATGAGAAACGAGATACACCTTAGAACTGGTGAAACATGGCAGTTACAAGATTAAACCCATATGCAATGCCCATTCTGCCATGCATTGTTCTAGACATTCTTGGATATATCAGTTCACTTAAACCCTCACAACCATCTTAGGAGCTAAATATTGTCATCCTGTTTTTTAAAGATGAGGAAAATGAGGCAGAGAGAGGTCAAGTAACTTTCCTGAGATTTCACAGCTAGTAAGTGGGAAGGCAGAATTAGAACTCCAGTAACCTGGCTTTGAGAGAACTTTTTTTATTGTAAAGGTGAGTCCCTAATTCACTCCCTGAAATAATCAAGATGGGAACGCGGTGGGAAAGAGTGCTTAAGTTCTTTGAATAATAAAGACACGGATTAGGGTGTTGTTTGCTGGTGGCTTGAAAGAGGAGACGGGGAGGGGGGGGGGGGGAAAAGAGGAGGTGGAAGGAGGGTGTCTGGGAGCTGGGCCTGGTTGAGCCGTGGCTGTGGCCGTGGCCGGAGAGGACGCCCCCTGCTGGAGCACTGTGATGGAATTCGGAGCAGCGCTGTCTGACAGTTGACATGAGGTGTGTTTCCTGCTCTGAGTCACAAATGCCCTCTACTCTCCCTGAAAGGTCGGTAAAAGTGGGTCACACAGCAGGCCTGTGAGTCTGGTGCTTTGGGGACTGAGGGAGAAGGGAACGGGTAGATCCACAGTCGGGACAAAGCGGGATGGAGTGAAGAGAGCAGCCCCTGGCTGCGGCTGGCAGGAGAGGAGGGTGGGAGTCGTGGCTGGGGCCTCAGACAGCCTCCGAAGGATGGAGGGCATTGGATCCTTGCAGCTCTGAGACACAGCGTGAGCCATTTGATTTCTGTGTAGGGTTTCCAGATAAAATACAGGACATCCAGGTAAATTTGAATTTCAGATAAAAAACAAATGATTTTGTTAGTATAAGCACATTCCAAGCGATGTTTGGGACATACATACTAATACTAAAAACATGTTCTTTCACTGGAGGTCTGCAGACATCTGGGTTACAAACTAAATCTTCACAAGGACTTTTGGGAATCAGTTCTATGAGACCTATTTTACACAGGAGGAAACTGAGGAACAAAGAGATTAGACAAGTTGCCCATCATCACAAGGCTAGTACGTGACAGAAACAAGCTATGAATATAGAAATTCAAGCCTTTTCTTGACAATAGGCTGACTTCCTCCTCCAAACCCTACCTCAAAGCCCAGGTGGTCGTGACGGTTGAGGCCCAGGGGGAGGCAGGGAAGGTCACAGGTCCAGGCTCCTGGGGAGACACAAAGACAGCTTCCTGCCGT